ACTATAATAGTATCACCGATATCATATCGGTACTGTGTAGTTAATATATTAATCTACGTACACACATATAACGTATACCTATATATACACACATATACGTATATAAATACAATATACGTATATATAATATATATATATACACTAATAATATGATATATAACCTATACTATATATAATACCACAACATAATACCTATATATACTACTACTATATATCATCATACCTACTAACCCTATATATCAATATACTATATAAAAAACTATACTACATATACTAACAGATTATATATACATAACTAATAACACGATATATACCCTAGTATACCTATATATAACTATAATACTACTACCACTATACTATATAACACACTATATATACTATAACATAAACTGATCCTAGGGTAACAGGTATATATATATAGCTATATAGGTCTATATATAGGTCTATATATCATAATCAACTATAGTATAGTATAGTCATAAGTATATAGATATACTATATACTTACAGTAATATATAGTAATCTACTATTATTCTACATATATACATATATATACTATATATATCGACATATATATATATATACTATACCCATATACTATATACATTATATTAATATATACTTATATCTATATAACTAATTATAGCATCAGTATCATAGGAACATCTCAGTTAATTTTTGATTTTTCAACAGGCGTAGACCAAAATGCCTCTGGACATAATTATATAGACATACAATCGATCAGAGCAACACACTACATTAAAATGTGTTAATGATGACATTACATTTGAGGTGAGAAAATGTAGTAATGATTCATATTGGATCAGCACTGCCTTGTTTGACAGGACAGACGTACTTGTGACTTTTCAAATCTGGACCGGTGACGCTCCTCTGTTATTGTATAAAACCCAGATTAACTAAACAGCTGTGATTGAAATTGGATTGGAAATTGTGAACATGACATAACTGCCAGAACAAATGAAACATCAGGAGCTCAGCAGATTCGTCTGGCAAAAGAAAAACAAACTTTTCATCTTATGACCACGCCACCGACCCTCGGGCCTCGGGCCACAGCGAGGGCCTCAGGTCACCGTGATAAACATGTGCAACTCTTAGTTATCCATGTTGTTAAGATATCAAACAATGGCGCGTGGTCCTACCTGATGAACTTATCAAACTATCTACATTGCAAAATGACTTTTGGTCTCCAACATGGATCAATGCTGGAGCCTACATTTCCCATGCTGCAGCCTGACAGCGTCTCTCTCCCTGCCTGATAAACAACCACATCTTTCAAACTCCGCTGCCTTGATTGCACTGCAGGCGTTCTGTTAGAAATTCTCTCCAAACCCAAAATAACCCCGGTGACTCAGAGTTTAGGAAGCTCCCGCCAGAGCGACGGAAGACATTTTACAGCTGATAACGGGTAAAATTAACTTCATGGGCAAAATGGGCCATTTATATGCCCATTTGTAGTCAGAGGCGCCCACTGCTCCGTGGTTTGACATGCTTTAAGATAAGCTAATATGAGATAAAATGAGATATCCTTTATTATCCCCTGGGGGAAACTTTTCTTGGGCTCAGCATCAGCACATTACACAACATTAATCTCCAGTAAAACAGTAATGCATTAAAGTATTACAGTGGACCAGAACATTACACGTTTAACAGTAAAAGCAACCCTACAATAAAGTTCTTTGTCACCGTGTAAAGTTCCTACAGCACAGCGTTTAACTGCTGCGGCTTAAAATCTTAATGGAACAAATAGGTTTTAAAATGATGGTTCAGTGTACAGTTTGGAGCTGTAAACTGTCAGCCAGCAGGTAAGTGCTCATATTGAGAGTGAAGGACGTGAGGTGGATCCTTCACTTCTCTCACTGCCTCTAAGCACAGACAATGGTGTTCTTTTCAAGACGAATTAACTGAAACTGCACTGGCAGGTTAGCGTACCACACCTGAATACCGTACCTGATTAAACTCCCTGAAACTCACTTTTGCTCGTACAGTGTGTCATATTTTTTTAAGGTCAATTAACAAACTGAATGAGGAGCAACCAGCAGCGAGGATGTGGGTGAAGTGTGCACATGAAGTGTGTGCATGTGCATGTGCAGGAAAGGTGGAGAACCGCTGCTGTGTTTGGCACCAGAAAACCTCTGTTATGCATGAAAACCCAGATGCACCCTCCACTTCCTGTAACATCCAGGTCGGACGTCTACATGTTGTACAGTAGACAAGATAACTTTATCAGACCATCAGTGCACTATTCTGGTAGCTGTCAGTGAAACTCTCTTCCCTCATTAACAATGACTCATAATTCCACAATAAAAGCCCCATGAACCCCTCTGATCAACAGAAACTCAAAATCTGAAAGCCTCTTCCATATTTGACTACAGGGATGATTAAGGGATTTTTCAGCTAACTGAAATTTGAGAAAATGTCCCCTGCAGCTGTGGGTTTGTGTTAGTTTTGATCTTTAGCTGCTTTAAGTGAAAGTTACCCAGCTGCAATCTGCCTGAAACATCCATGACACGTGGCAAAAAATAACGCCACAGAATGAGGACCAGAATTGGACTTTTGTGGTGTTTTATCTCCAGTTTACAGTCAGAAATAAAGCCCTTATACTGGAACGGCGGTGTTTGTGTTTTGTCCACAGTTTATAGCGTTATATACTGTGTAATATTCTTGACTTTGCACTGTGATATCTGCAGGAGCTCTTTATCAGGAGCTCAGTTGATGCCGGTGGAGCTTTGCGTCCTGCGCAAAGACGCCACCAGGTGACTTTTCTGGCTAAAAAAACTTTTGTAGTTCGGCTTGAACTCACCGACTGTGGTGACCAGAGTGTTGGCGAAGAACATGGAGGATGCCAGGTCCCAGTTTGAAGGCACGGAGGAGTTTCTGAGGACGGAGACGCCGTACTTGTTGGCCGTCAGCACTTTGACCAGAAAGAGTTCGAGGGACGCGGCGTTGACGCAGCTCAGGTTCAGGAACTCCTGCTTCAGGACTATCATGTCTTGTCGCAGCTTGTCCTCCACCGGCCGCTCGATGCTGGAGAAAACCAGGGCCCCGAACAGCAGGTAGATGACATAAAAGAGTATGAAGCCTGTAAGCAGCAGCCACGACCTGCCTACAGAATGCATGTCTGCTTTTACTCCCGGGTGATCATCAGTGGAGCTGCTGATCCGGAGCCTGGCTGCTTTCTTTTCTTCTCTGTGTGGGAACTTTTTTTGGGGGCTGTCCTAATTGAACTTGTCAACGCATCCTCCTCCCACAGTGGAAACAGGAGGAGGGTGTGTTCAGCTCTGAGTCCTGGAAGTGCATCCTGGATCCTGGAAAAGAGCCTTCATACTTACAAACAAATCTATTAGTTATTGTATCTTTTTTTCTCAGTTATAAATCCAAGTAAAACTTTAATAAAGCTGTAAGTTGTTTGCCAACCTGTACCACTGTTTTAAAGACATTTTCATGATTCACTCACATCAGATTTGTGAGACTTTTCGAGCCTCCTGGAATGACAAATAATCTCAATAAAAAAGATTATTGCTTTTTTGTTTTGCCCAAAGATAACCAGGAAGAGACATATCTCCTTTCTCCCAGAACCATTAACAAAATGAAATGTCTATTATCAGGTTAACTTCTCTTGTTTTCCATTATTTTATGTTACAAATAAACTATTTGGCCAGGTATGTGTACACATATATGGAATCTGACTCTGGTTTTACGTTGCTCTCAATGTACAAACACAGAACATAAACAACAACAATAACATTTGTAGACAAAGAATATATATACAATAGAATTAATATTGTTGTGCAGTGTATTTCTATTGGGTAGGTGGGTATTACAGTAGTCAATATATACAATATGCACAACATTAGATGTGTTTTTTTTTTTTTTGCCTCATCCAAAACAAGGAAGGAGATGTGTCTCTTCTGGCTGCCATCTTTGTTTGGTTCGGCCTAACAGAGCTGCAGATTGGTACGTGTGTGTGGGAAGAGTCAGTTCATATGTGTGAGTGTTTTAATGATAGACTGCGTCTCGATTGCTGCTTTTAGCCGTTTTACTCCCACATGTCTTCAGATCCAGATGTGGCGCACAGCCTTTCAGCCCTAGTTAAGTCCCAGAGTGTGCCAGAGTTTCTTCCGTCACTGAGCGTCAAATTGACCTTGACAAACCGGGGTCCGGGTCCGTGTACAGATCCCATGATGTCCACGATGGCCTAAATGCTTTTCCACTGCCTTTTATGACTTAGAGCTGGAGTTGGATCCTGGGTGCTGTGGTCTGGCTGCACACTGCTCCTGAGTATTTTGGATGTGGTACAAAATTTATTTATATTTTGGAATATTTCCACTTGAGGATCATTTTAGGAAATACGCTCATTTGATTTCTTGCCAAGAGTTAGATGAGAAAACTAACAGCACTCTTGTATCTGTACGTTACATATGAAGCTTAGCTTAGCTTAGCATAGAGACTGTAAGCAGGGGGAAACAGCT